TCCCTGCCTCCCTGCCGGGCCAGTTGCTCTTTCCCCGCTTAACACAGGGCAGGGGACACTGGGCCCAGAACCAGTGTCCCTGTCCCGGGGGTCCAGCGCACAGCACCAGTGCAGGGCAGGCCACGGGGCTGCCGAGGGGTCTCGAGGGCTCTGCCCAGCACCAGGGTCCCCCAGCAGCCCTTTGCCAGGCGCTTGGTCCTCCTGTCCCAATGTCTTTTTCTTCCGTCCCTGCAGGTCTGGCACTGCGCAGTGGAGTATGCCACCCCGCTGCAGTCCCTCTACGCCATGTCCCAGGATGAGTGTGCTGCCTTCAGCCGGGAGGACCGCCTGGAGCAGGCCAAGCTTTTCTACAGGACATTGGAGGAGATCCTGAAAGGCTCCAAGGAGTGCGCGGGTACCTACCGGCTCATTGCGTACGAGGGTGAGTGAGGAGGGGAGGAGGGAGGGGTGCCCAGCACGGTGGCTGTGCTCCCCCAGCCCCTTGTGTGACCTCGGATCGGGGCAAACAAGGGGAAGTAAGCAGGATCCATGTAGCGTGTGGCTGATATCCCCACTCACACGGGCATGGGGGTCCCTGCCGCGGCGGGAGGAAGGGCCTGCTCGCTGACACAGAAGGACTTCTTTCTGTGGGTCTCAGAGGAGTGGGGAGGATGCTGGCAGAGCTGGTCCCTGTTGAAGTCCTCAGAGGCACCTGAGACAAGCAGTCTTCCGATGGGGCAGCAAGAATGCTCCCTCAAGGATTAAATATAACACTGGGCTTCCAGGGAAAGGAGCAGCTCCCTTCACTGCTGATGTTCCTGGGACAAATGGCAGGGGCTGTCAAGCCCTCCCCAGCACTGGGATGGGTGTTGGTGTGTGTGCTGGCTCAATAGCATTCCTCCTGACAGGGATGCGAAGGAGCGAGGCTATCCCATCTTCCTTTTAATTTCCCTTCTCACCTCTGCCAGAGCAGCAGGGCTTGAAAACAGCTTGCTGCTTCTTGCTGAAATGAATCTCATTGTTTTTCAGAGGAAATTCAGCGCTTCCCCTGATGGGGAGAAGCATTTCTATCTGGCGTGGTTTAACCCGGCAGGCAGCCAAACACCACGCAGCCGCTCGCTCATACCCCCTACCCACAGTGGGACGGGGAGAGAATTGTAAGGGTAAGAGTGAGAAAAACTCATGAGCTGAGATAAAGGCAGTTTAATAGAACAGAAAAGGAAGTGAAACTAATAAAAATAATAACAATAATGATAATGATAATGATAATGATAGAATACACAAAATGAGTG